ATCGGCTAGAGCTGCTGTAATGTCCACGTTTCTTATAAACTTTCTATACTTACCGTTCATGCCTAAAAAACTGCGTAACATCTTCAACGTCCTTGGAAGTGGGTAATCTACCATAGCAGATATCTCGGGATCTGTCCTTATGACGCCTTTCCCGATCACATGACCTAAATACTTAACAGTTCTCATACAGAAATGGCTCTTTTATACAATAGCCCTGCTTGCTGTATGTATTTCGCCGCTATTTTGTTGTCAGAGCCGCTAGATGCGACTCGAAAGTATTGGATACGACGAGCAGGTCGTCGAAATACACGAATACCTCGTTCCGTAGTGGGGCTGGAATCACTTTTTCCATGAGTCGCGTCATGGTTTGAGATGCGTTCATGAGCCCTAAAGGCATGACTCTTAACTGATGTAGCGGCTGCCCTGGAATGGTAAACGCGGTTTTACCGCGTGAAGGTGGTTTCAGCGGGATCTGCCAGTTAGCAACCTTTAAATCCAGTCTTGAGATGAACATAGCTTTAGAAAGCCTGCTTAAGATTGCGTCGATCTGTGGTAGTGGAGAGGCATTGCCTTGGGTGAAGCTATTCATTTTCCTAAAGTCCAAACATAAACGGACTTTTCCTGGCTTCTGCACCAAGACAACCGGCGACGACCAAGACAAGCACTTTGTGATTCTTCGATAATACCTAGCCTTATCATCCTCTCGACCTCTCAGTAGAGCAGCTTCTCTATTGCCGGACACACCGGATAATACCTCTGCTTCACCGCTTTCGTCTCCCCGACGTAGAAACTATGGCTTATCAAAAGAGTCTTACCCATGCCTACCTTGGCGAAAGATGGAAATACCTCTATCACCGCCTGCAAACTCGCAAACTGGGTTTCGGACAACTCCTGTCTAACTGAAATTTTGCTATCCCGGAACTCCGAGGGCAAGAGTTCAAAACTCTTCTTAAAATCGATACCTAGATACAGATCTTGGCTCAGAGTGGGAACCAAGTAAAATGTATGAGTCTTACTTAGGCCTTTTAATTTCACATCTGTCGTCAGGTAATCTACAACCTGTTATCGTTGACCATCACCGTACTCACTATTGTTCCTTTCCGCTTAAAGTCTGCCCTGCTCTTTATGAACCTTTCGGCAAAACACCCACACAGTGGTTCGGCTTGTATGGAGCCGCGGTCATAATTACTTATAGTTGTGGTATTGCTACAAATATTTCACCGAAATTCTAAAAAAATATTATAAACATATACACAAAAAATTGTTCATATAGAACGTCTATATCATTTAGCTGTCACAGGAAGGATTGGTTAGAAATAAGAATTTAGTATGGATAACTTTTTTTTCCAGATATGTTGCCTAAACTCACAGATTATGACTTTGGTGTGGTTTTATACATACTTACCAAATTTTATACAAATCTGACAACTATTGCATATAGCAGCCATAGAAGCAGCCAGTTAGAACTAATTATTTAGTATTGATAACTTTTTCTTGTATTCAATGGGGGAATCGTGGGGGAACATAATTAAAACTTTAGGTAAACAAATTTAAGACACACAAAAAAGGTACAAAGAAATAGGTTTCAAAAAACATTTGTTTCACAAAATACACAAATCTTGTTTGTTTTTATTAATATCATAATTTAAAATAAATACTTTAAGCTTCAAAATTCAATTTTACTTATTTTAATATACGCATTTGAACAGTTGCCACACCGATTTGAAGTGAGCGTTTGCATCGAAATATTTTTCAAGAGCTCCGATGCGCTGCAGAAATTAACACGTTTTCTTGCTTTTAATGGTTTTTCTAGAATGTACCATTAGGTTTCCAGCGAAAACCAGTTTGCAAATTTAAAGATTGGTCATTTTAGAATCAAACTGTGTAAATGAAGTTTAAATATTTTCAAATCAGATTTTTTGACTTTTGGGCGGAACCACAGTGCTTTGGTGGAATAGTCTGTCCACCTGTGCCGTCAGCTGTTCCAGTAATGTCGCCTGCATGGCGCTCACTGATTGTGACACAATTGAATGCAACTCCGCTGTGCTTCCTAAATATTCTGCTTGAGAGCCTGCTTGGCTAGTCCCGCAGGGGTGAGTCTGTCCGGCGGATCTGCTGGCTCGTACTCGCAGCGGTCGTGTCGCGTACCGCATGGACTTTCTCGAAGCACACACGTCGGACATGCAGACTTTGGCCTGGCATGCATTGTTATACACGTCTTGTGGAATTTGTGTCCGTACATGGTCCTGGCTCTGCCAGTTGGCATTTCTTTGTTACATAACGTGCAGATGGGCGTCTTCATGGGTGTCGCTGCCCCCTTCTCTGCCACTGCTGGATTCATCCTTTCTTATCTTACTTTCTTAATATGAAGAAACACTGAAAAATACTTTCTCTTCGACTGCCGCAACTCTGATCCTTATTTATTTGGAACCAAACCTCGCCATCGTTTAATTTAATTTAATTTAATTTGTTCTTCTTCTTTCTGCTTTGCTACTTATTCTGATCTGTTCGAAAGACAGCTCAAACAACTCCCCTCTACAGCCGAAGATCGTCGCCGGTCCCTGCTCATTCCCAGACACTGCCACCCGATTGCTACTGGTACCAGCCGAAATGAACTGTCCGCAAAAACATGGCTGCGATTAGCCATACTAAAAACATGGCCACTAAGTTGGGCGCCAAAAAAATTTCTGATTATTATTACTGTAACGAACAGTCAACCTTAGGACAGGGCGAGGTGGGTCTTGTAAGGTTCCTCTCTCTCTCTCAATAATGCTTGCCTCAAAGTTCATAAATTATATCGATGATACGCAAAAGGTGGGAGGTAGCGCCAAGGCGGCGGCGAATCAAGCGAGGCGAATTATTTGCCTTTCTACTTCCTCATATAATTCATGTTTATTAAATTAAAGTGTTACTTAAATGTCTACTAAAACTCCATCCTTACTTCACTTACTTTTGCTAACAACTCAGTTTTCTCTCAACCTTTATATTTGAAAATTAATTCCTAGGTTTAACAAATGGAAATAAGGACTTAAAATAGTGCTACGTGTGCGCTAAATACTATTAGCTTAAACGCAACTTAAATGCCACGCTCGTTTACACCGCTCCGTGTCGAAGGGCTACCTGCGGCTAGCGTATGCATTTCAATTAGTTCAGCTGACTTTATTGACGGTCTCACATTACAAAATCTCGGTTCGGCGATGCTTTTATCTTTTCTTGATCAGGCTTTTGATCATAAAGGCTCGTTCCCGGTCCCAAAGGTGAGGGCAATCGTCCACTTAGGGGGTCCACCCCATAGGCCGCGAACCTGACGACGTGATAGGATAATGACCGGAATATTCCGTATGGCTTCAATTGGCTTCATACAAGTTTTGAGAATTAGGGCTTACTCACCCCTTTCATCCGCGACGAGCTAGTTGAAGCGCTTACACGTAATCGTGGCTGGAAAGAAACAATATTCCGGGAAAGCTACCACCAACCCGTTCACAAATGAAACAATTTACGCAGCTAGCCAATAGAAGCCTTCAATGAGAACGGAAACCTCCGTTCATTAACTCCACGCGATCATACAAGGCCACACGAGGCCTCCCCCGACTCCACTCTGCGGAGGAGAGTCCCTTAAAAGCGCAGCGAAAGCTCCGAGTCTAGCTCGGGAGCTTAGGCTGCCTCGGCCTACAATTAGCGGCTTCTCCAACTACAACAGCTGTCCTTTCTGCTCTCGCTCCTACGGGCTCCCAGAAAGTTGCCGTTTCACCGTCGTTGTTGCCACCAGTCTCGCAACACCTTAAGTTCTGGTGATCTCCGAGTGGGCTTAATCTTAAACTTGCTCCTGCACTCTTCGCGTAAAATCTCCTCCTTGTACTGGATGAACCTTCTTGAACCGCGTCAGAAATGCAAAGAAAATGCTATTCCCACGTGGATTACTAAATCTAGCTTCCAACTTCCAATAACATTCCAATAACCTATTGCCAGATCACCAGATCCCGGTAACACCTATCGCCTTACTACAGTCCTACTACGACAAGGAGTTCCCACATCGGTAGCCTTTTCCCCGCCCCCGGGCTGCCACCAACGCCGATCTATCACCGACGTTACAATTTTGTATAAGCAACGAAATTATAGTTTTCTGTATAAAAGTAGAAACACTGAGAGTGGGTAGGGTTAACTTTACCCTTTTCTATTTACAAACATCAAAAACATTGCTATTTACAAACGTTAAACTCTCTAACTCTAAAAACACCAAAGTTATACCATTTCAGATCAATCAGATATATGGCAGCTATAGGATATAGTCGGCCGATCCGGGTCGTTCCGACTAATATACTGCCTAATAATATTTACTAAATATAGCTGCCATATAAGTGAGCGATCGGAAATGACCCAACTTTCGTGTTTTTGAAGATAGAAAGCTGTAACTGGTACAGATTCTATTTTTTGTCAGTTAATCCGACCTACCGAATTTCATCGGCCGACCATATCTTATAGCTGCCATATAACTGAACGATCGGAAATGGTTTTTGGTAGAAATACCAACTTTGGTATTTTTGGAGATAGAAGTTTGGGACTTTTTTTTAGATTTTGTTGTATAATAAATTGGGTTATATTATAATATAAATAATATAATATAATATTATATATTATAATATAATTATATATATTATAATAATATAATGATAATTATCATATTTTCATAAAGATCGGCCAACTATATCCGATGTTTGCGATATATATCCGGTTTTAACTGAAAGGGTATATAAACTTCGGCACCGCCCGAAGTTAGCTTTCCTTTCTTGGTGTTAATACATCTAGTTTTGCTACCGTAGTAAGCTGAGCGTAAGTTTTTTCCGGAAAAACACCCTTTAATGAACATTTCAGTGTATATTTGAAACTTGACACCTCTTCTTTTGCCTAAGAGTTCTTAGAATAAAAAAAATTGAAGGAATATTGATTTCAAACTTTTAGTTTGTGTTTATTTTGAATATGAACTTTTTTTATATGCTCAGATGGACTTATGTTTTGGTCTGATTGGGGCGATGAACCTATGATTGAACGTGCAAATATGGATGGCTCTGGACGCCAAATCATATCCTCGAAGAAACTCGTTTACCCAAATGGACTCGCAATTGATTATGACCATAGTAGGTTGTATTTTGTTGATGGTGGTATCCACACTTTAGAGAGCATGAACTTTGATGGAAGCAGCCGTCAGATAATTATAAGTAAGTACCCGTAATTTTGAATACTTATTACTTATTGTTGAAATTTACTTATTAATTTTTCGCAATTTATATCCCTAAATTTGTACAAAATAAATTTCTGATTATCATGCATTTAAAAAAATCCCTATCGGAGCCCCACTTAATTCGGAGGCTAGGCGTCAAAGAGTTAAAATATGAAAGAGCCCGCTCAATTGGCTCATTTAAAAGATAATTAGCCTTGTGAGACTTGATCCGAAAGGAAGGGCATGTAGGAAAATCCTTTTGAGAAATATTAAAATTAATAAGTCCCGGTAAAAAAAGGAAATTAATGTTTGCAGCGAGTATATTAATGGGAAAAGTCAAAGCTGCCAGTGTACGCCGATCCTCCAACGTGCAAACATTAATAAGAAAGCGGTGGCTCTTGTATGAGGGGGAGGATCATAAAACCTTAGAGGCAGAAAATAAAATTTTAGAAATTTCTTTTGGAGACGCTCTATTCTCTTGGAGCGAATTTTACAAGACGGATTTCAAATGATTGAGCCATATTCTAGCCTTGACCGAACAAATGCAGCTAAGACGCTGAGGATCGAATGTGGCCTTTGAATCGGTTCACGAACCTTTTTATAAAGCCCAGCATAGCATACTCTTTAGGCAGTATAAAGTCTAAGTGACCAGCAAAGTTTGTATTTATTTTTTTCTGAGAACAACTTATTATCTGGTCTTTCAAGGGTAGAACCCATTCATTCGCTAGGTCCCGACGGCTACTTTTCAACTTATCTTTTGAAACCTCGATTTTTCCCCTTATGTGGAAGGAATCATTCATAATTCCCCTACATAAAAAAGTGAAAAAGTCCGAAGCTGCCAACTACAGAGGCATCTCTAAGTTGTCGGCAATTCCAAAGTTATTTGAAAAATTAATTACCCCTCATTTGCAACACCTTTGCTCTTCGATTATCACTCCTTGTCAGCATGGCTTTATAAGGCGTCGCTCCATCACCACAAACTTAGTGGAGTTGACATCCTTTGTCAAAGATGGCTTTTGTAAGGGATATCAAACCGATGTAATTTACACAGACTTCAGCAAAGCATTTGATTCAGTTAATCACTCACTCTTGTTGAGTAAACTGAATATGCTGGGTTTTCTCTTAACGTGGCCTCTTAGACCTCTTAGACCTCGTTAAAGACCTCTTAACGTGGATCTCCAGCTACCTAGATGGAAGGACACAAAGAGTCTTATTTAAAAACATACAGTCCCGTCTGGTCCGTGCTACATCTGGCGTCCCTCAAGGAAGTCATCTTGGCCCGTTATTATTTACGTTATATTTATAAACGACTTGCCCCCTGCTTTAATGAACTCTCTAGTTCTTATGTATGCAGATGATGTAAAGCTTTGTCTTCAGTACAAATCCATCTGTGCCCAATGCAGTCTTCAGTCTGACCTTGATAACTTTCAAAAATGGTGTTTAGCTAATGATCTAATACTTAAAGGATCAAAATGCAAGCATATGTCATTTTATCGTTCTTGCCGTCTGCAAGCTACTTATTCTATTAATGGGATTGCCTTAGAAAAATTAACCCAGGTTAATGATCTCGGCATCCTATTAGACATAAAACTTAAATTTGCCGACCATATTTCATTAATGGTTAATAAGGCTAAAAGAGTCCTTGGTTTTATTAAAAAGTGGTCAAAAGAATTTAATTACCCCTATAACCAAAACACTATTCATTTCTTTGGTCCGTCCTATACTGGAGTACGGTTCATGTGTCTGGAGTCCCCAATATGGAGTACATATGGACCGCATAGAATCCGTACAAAAGAACTTTTTAATATTTGCACTTAGAGGTCTATACTGTGATGCAAATCTTCAGCTTCCATCCTACAGTAGCAGACTTTTACTTATAAACTTACCTAGCTTAACAAATCGTAGGACAATGCTCGGTGTAGTTTTTCTGCATAACCTTATTAACGGGGATGTAGATAGCCAGCATTTACTAACACGTTTAAAATTTAACATTCCTAATAGAAGGACTCGAAACTTTAGTCCTCTGTTCCTTAGCCATTGTAGTTCGACATATGCACAGCATGACCCTTTTAGGGTATTATGTTCGAACTACAATGGTCTCTACTCTATTACATCTCTTTCCTGTCCCTCTAATTTAAAATATAGAATTTTAAATTTCCTTACTAACTCCTCTTAGCTTAACAAATTTCAAATAGCTTAATATGTACTAACAAATCGTTTCTCGAGCGCCCCTCGGTCGTCTGGGCCTCTAAGCTTTATGATGAATACAGGAATGCTAGCTGATGCTCTTATTGATGCACCATTGATGCGAAAAAAAATAAAATAAAAAAAATAAGACTAGATGTAGGTGTCTTATTTTTTTTCCCTGTTTAGTTGTCAAACTTTAATTTTCGATAGAAAAAACCGTTCAGATATCAAGAGTCTGCTTACTGTAGCGGGCAACCAAACATTTCGATAAGTTTTCGGGACCACTATAAGGAAACTCTGGATATATCTTCCTGTAACCATGATACAATTAAACAAGGTAGTCCATTAGTTGACTTAAGTCCCTTATTTTAATTTTAACATAGTAAACGTTAATAGTGCGAGTAAAACGGCTATACAGTACTTTGATTAACCCTCACACGGGGCATGGGGCTAAAAGTTTTTCTTAGTTATGACAAGAGTGGTGTTTATAATTTTATTTTAATTAGTTTTTAATTTGACATAATTCTTTGTTTTTGTTTTTGGACAGCTATTCTCTCGTTTAAGTTCTTAATTCTAAAGTATATACGTATCTTAAAAAAAATATTTTTTTTATATTTACACCAATAGACCTGCTCAACGGCGTTTAACAATGTCTGTTTTAAATTTTTAGTTTAAAAAAACTAAAAAAAAAAACTTTACGCCTAGCACGTGCTTTATCCGTGACGTGATCATCCGTATACATCAAGAAGTAGGCATGACGAAAGCATGAAGAAATGAATTACTAAAGTTAATAAATAGGTAGTTTCTTCACTGCACTATGTGAAAACGAGGGGCGATATGAGCGAAATAGTGCACGTCAAAGAAAGCTAGATGAAAGAAAGCTAAAGCCTTTAAGGGGTTATATACAGTTGTACCGAGCAAAAATATGGATTTTTATCGATTTTTTTTTGACACCATAGAAAATATTTATGAAAAATGTTTTACCGACGTTGTTTAGTACATGTTTCTGGGTACTTAAGTAAATTTTTTCATAAAAAAATATTACATAACAAAAATGTTATAGCCGAATTCCCGGATCGTCTTTCCCGGATCGAAAACGGTTCATCCGAAATCCAAAATTCAAAAAAATTTAGTTAGTATATTGTATTTTCTAGTCCGTGAACGAGGGATTTTAAAAAATTTTGACTAAAAAAAAATGGCGACGTTTTTAACAAAAAATGTACCCTCGTTCACGGACTAGCTAATATCATAATAAATAAGTAGGCATAATTTTGTGTTGATCGGATTAGTAGTTTTTTAGTAATCGTGTCCACCGCAAAGGTAATTTCCCAAAAAAAAGATTCTGAGATAATCGCGTTTAAAGTTTCAAGTTTGTTCAAGTTTTATATGCAGATAGTGTGCTATAAATAGCTACAGCTTCGGTTCTAATGCTCCGATCGTTATGAATTTTTGTGAGAATATTCCCAATAGAATATACTTAAAGAATATGCAATAAAAAAAAATCGATTTAATAATATTATTAATTTTAGGCTAACTTTATTCTTTCCAAAAGTGTATACCTAAGTGTAAAAATTTGTCATATCATCTTTTTCCAAAATTTTGGTCGGCTCTCTCTCAATCATTATAAAGGCCTATTGGCTTAATATCATTGTGCTATGGAGCTCAGTGATATTATCAGGTGACTCAAAAGCATAGTTTTACCAAACTTATAAAGTGGTAATCTTTTTTTATTCAGTGGTGTTACCTTAGTTAACCGCCATTAGAGAAACGGAATAGGTTCCGCTTTTGAAATATACAGTAGCAGTATTCTATACACATTGAAATTATGTCATTGTGTCATAGAGTTCAGCTATTGTTGGACTACCAGATTTTTGTTAGCCAAAAGCTTTTTCAAGTTACCTGAATCTTAATCGCCCAAGTTAAATTCATTTAATTAACAGATATACAATAGAGGGCGGAGAGGTTGTCGATATACAAAGTTTGCACAAAATCAACCTTAGCTGCTGTAGCTTAACTGCGGGAATGATTTTGAATTGAGGCATTGCCAAGACTGGGAAATTACACATTACACATTTTTATACCCTTGCAGAGGGTATTATAATTTTGTCCAAAAGTGTGAAGGAGTGAAGGAGACATCTCTGACCCTGTCAAGTATATATATACTCTTGATCATTATATAGCTGTCATATAACTGATTGATCGGAAATGGTATAACTTTGCTATTTTTAGAGAGTTAGGGAGTTCAAATTTTACACGAGAGCTAGTTTGGTAAAAGATTACGACATGCCAAATTTCATAGGAATATCCTTCTATATCCTACTATATCCTACTATATCCTACTATATCCTACTATATCCGACTATATCCTGTAGCTGCCATATAACTGAACGATCGGAAATGACCCAAATTTTGTGTTTATGAAAATAGAAAGCTGGAACTTAGTACAGATTTTATTTTAATCCAACCTACCAAATCTCATAACATTCGGTCGACTATATCTTATAGCTGTCATATAACTGAACGATCGGAAATGGTATTTGGTAGAAATACCAACTTTGGTATTTTTGAAGATAGAAGTTTGGGACTTTTTTTAAATATTTTATTGTAATTAATTGGTTTTATTATGATATTCTCATCGGCCAACTATATCAATTTTTTGCGATATATATCCGGGTTTAACTGCAAGGGTATGTCAACTTCGGCTGTATTTGGAGGCGAATTGATAACTTTTTAAATTTAAATCCAAGCCTAGCTTGGCTCGGCTCCTACCTCTTCTTTCATTTTTATACCCTTGCAGAGGGTATTATAATT